AAGTGTATGAAATTGGAGTAGTAAAAAACTCTTGGAGTATTATGGAGTTGAACACAAAGAAAAATAATGATCTTTGTTGTCTGATCTCACAAGCAAACATGTATCAGGAGGTAGATTAAATTAATTAAAGCATTAAAACAAGTAAAAACAAAGAGCAATGTATAAACATGGTTGTCAATCAATCACAAAGCACTAAGGATCATGATTTACTTGTTGGGATGTCCTACGACAATTGTTGCTAAAGTCCCCTAATTATCTTCTAGTTAAATAGGTCATATTCAATTAGAGTCGAATTAGCTTCCACTTAATCTTATAACATCCAACTAAACCATTACGAGACTATTAAAATTACTATAAATTCCTATATTATTCCTAATTCATTTATTTATGTCATTTTCCTTAGGTCTAGGTTCACTCTTCTCCTTCCAATTCATCAAGCAAACCCACAAATGGATAATAAGGTGGTTAGCCATACAATTGGCATCAAGATCAAGGGAAATAGATATAATCCGAGCCAAAATACTTATAAAATATAAAAACCAAGTTCAACAAGGATTATTAAAAAAAAGCAAATAGAGAGCAAGTTCATCTCAGTCAAACTACTCCATATTGTAACTAGGAACTTAGAAACTAGAAAGCATCATAGCTAATAAGAGTCCCAAATAAAAAATAAAAAAAAGAGAGGGTGGATGATTAAATGAGCCACCATAGGGCTTTATTTATAAGTTTTCACATCCTATTACGCTCTCCTCTCTTTAGAAATATGTCTTATCACATTTATCAAATGATTAATCCTTCAATTTAATTTTAAATCATCTTCAGCCACGTGTAAAAGGTGGTGTCCGCCCATGGTCGAGCTTACGTTATATATCGTCCGTGCGCGGGCAAAGCATGGACAAACTCTTGTCGTTGCCTTCTTCTGTGGGCAGGCAAACCCCTCTTTCTGTCTCACGTCCACGACCAGTGGACTTGTGCGTTATCTTCATCCGATGTGGATAGGATCCGAGAGCACAAGACTTTGTTCAGGTTCCCTCATCTATGAGCAGTCTTGAATTGCACTAGGCACCTTTGCGAACAATTTGGACCTGAGCCCTTAAGTTTCTTATGACTTTGCTTCATCTGCGAACTGTCATGAAATGAATAGGACTTGTCCATGATCTGTTTCAAACAGAAGTGACAGGTACTTCTCTACATCATTGCTTATGGCCGATCATGAGACTCTGAAGCACATCGGAGTCTGGTAGTGCCTTGGTGGCCCTATTTTTGGCTTGGTATCCGCATTTCACCACTTTTAGCCCATTTTTTGTCATATCTTCTCCTTTTTCTTGAAACTTGCAAAAAGGTTTTAAGTGAGGCAATGTACCTTCTTTGCTTCGAGGTCTAAGCCACAATTAATCAATTAAGTGCCAAAACCACGTAAATGTGGGCTTGTCGCTTACAAATATATTTATAGTATTGAAAGATTTTTGTTCTTTAACTGTTCACGCAAGAACATATTTTATTTTTTTATAATATTTTCTTTTAACATTTAAAAATGTTGTAATATTTTTTTAATAAAAATTAATTATGAATGATGATTGACCCAGAAAATGATAGAAAATTAAATGATCTCAAAATTACAAATAAGTACCTTTTAAGAAAACTAATATTGATTAGGGTTAATGAGCCTTCCAAATCCTGAAGTATTACACAAAAAGCAACCTAAATCCTAAACTGTTAAAATGTGCAAAATAGACTTTGAAATTTTAAACTTATAGCAAATTATCCCCCACTGTTAACTCTTGCTTAATGCCATTACTATTTACAGTGCAACCCAATCAAATGCTGACATAATAATCCTTTGCTGATGTGTCATTCGTTAATGAGCATCATATATCTTAAACTATTGCACAAGTAGTATTCTAAACTCTAAAATTTAAAATTTTGAGCAAATTATCCCTACCTTTTATGTATAAAACATTAATTATTATGTAGACTAAATTAGCCTCAGCATGATTCATTGCGATGAACGCATCGTTAGCCTCGGTGAATGATCCATAATTTTGTAAAATGACTTTTTTGCCCTCTTTTCAGAATGTCTTCTAAACAATTGGTACATCATGTTTCCTATGATCTATATCCCTAATTTAGTCTTCTTTTGAATAATGTTTATTTATTTAATAGTAAAAATTTAAAATTTTATTTGAAAAGAAATTTAAGTACAAGAAGATTTTATAGACGATGGATGTAAAAGTTGATGATTTTATCAACGAATTTAAAACTCAAATTAATTGATCAATTAAAATAAAAAATTTAATTCAAATTACATATTAAAAATAAATATAATACAAGGATACTAAATGACTATGATGTACAGACATGCATAATTTAACTTATGAGATCTATAAAAGTGTGATGATCCTTATATTTGTAATATTGGGTTTTATCATACATATAACATGAGAGAGAATGCTTGGATCCATAAATGAAGAATAGGGTTGAGACTCCATATCAGATTGCTTGGCGTCTATCTCAGATATGTTAGCATGGGCAAAAATATGCTCCTCTTCATTTTCATCATGGCTCGGTGTGTATCCGTACGTTGTGTCATCGAAGACTTCATTCATCTTTTTCTTTTTCTTTTTCTTTTTTTTTCTTTTTTTTTTTTTTTTTTTTTGTTTTGTTTTGGGATGAGCTTTCATCATTGTTTAATGACTTGAGAATCTCGTGTTTCTTTCGTCTTTCAATTTGGGTTTTTGACAATTGTACTTTGGGCTGCCAATTTAAAGCCATTTGTTATGCTTGCTACCAGGAGGCTTGGGCTCACTATTCTCTTCAATTTGTCAGATGAAGAGAAGATTTTTCCCGCTGATTGAGGATCTCAGTGGGGTTTGGGGTATTCTTGGGCTTGTCATTATGGTGGGCCACAATAACGGCATGTTATATGTAGTGCCTATTTGGATCTTAATTTAATAAAATTGATTGTAAAAAAATTAATTACTATAATTAATTTTGACTATAATTAATTATGTTAGAATATGATGATGTTTGAATGTTATTTTTTAAAATAAATTTTAATAAAATTAAAAGTGTTTGAATGATTTAATCAAAATCAATTTTAGAGTTACGAATTACAATAAATGACATTTCTTTTTAAATAAATCAAAATAACCAAGTTTAAATAAATTTAATAAAAAAGTATGATCCTTAAATATTAAATATCAGTTTTACAATGCAAACATTCAAATTTTGTTCCAATTTAATTTAGATTTAACTTTTTACGGGTTCTTATAATAATCTCGAGCTATTCATTTTTTTCCCTCATATTCACCCATGGGTACCATATCATTGTGGAGATATGGCTAGGTATAACTCAAGAATAAAGTTGGTAAAAATCTGCAATATCTTCACTCTAATTAAATAAAGGCTCTCAAGTATACAGATGGGAAGATGCGATGTCACTGTGAGGAAACTTTTTTCAGTTTTTTGAGTGACATTCACAAGCCAAGCAACGCCACCAGGGGCATATTTGAAATTTTAACCATTCTGACAAAATAATAATGACACCAAAAGTTATAATTGAAAATTGAAAGCTGATCAGCTTATATAAAAACACAGTTTACGAGACAAAATCAATTTTCATAAATACAATTAAATTTCAGTTGAATATAATTAATTATAAAAAATTAATTAATATAATATATTTTAATTATAATTAATTATATTATAACATAAAATATTGCTATTAACTGTATCATGTGAGAATTACCTCAGTTGATTATAATATTCAATTGTTGGAATCTGTAGCTTGTAAAAGATTTCTAAGTAACAGGGTTATAAATTCCAAGCAATGAGACTTTGAGGAGGGGGAAATTTCTTAAAGTATATATATATATATATATATAAACACTAGATATTGATTTAAATAGTTTTAATAATTCATTTTAATTACTCAAAAATTCTAATCATATTGTAGTACATACATGTAACTAGTAGTCGAAGGTGAATGAAATGCATGATGAAGGGGGTATATGATTTTCTTATTTCTTTTAAATTCATGTACATATAAAATCTCACTATTTTTTTTTCTAAGTAGTTTCTTCCATGTAGTCATTCACTTATATGATGTCGATAATCTATCATTAATATTTTGGATCGCGAAACATCGTTTTAAATTTATTTACTTCGTTTATTGTTATGTGACACTTCAGATTTTCTAATCAACATAGTGTACGTAGCATGTATTGCGTTGGTAAATGTGATTTAAAAATCTGCGCAACTCATACATGATTGCTCGGAAATATTAATGGCATCAGAAACCATCAATATAGTACATGGAAGAAGACAACGCAAGCAAATTTTGCAATCAAGAGATAATCCACAAAAATTAATCATTGTATATGAAACATTTAAGCATAATCTTCTTGTGCATCGCATAGACGTAAATGCTAGTGAGGAGTAAAAGAAAGAGAATAGTGGGTAAAGAGTGCAAGTAACAATTTCCAGATCCAATGAAAGCGAATAATAGAAAGAATAAGATGGAGAGGGACAGATTCAAGGTATCAAACCTTAAAAGATTATGTCTAACATATAATCAAAAACACAGTAAACATTTATATAATGATGATGATGCTGCTTTTGTTTTGTTTTGTTTTGTTTTTTTCTCTCTTTGGTAGAAGATGATGATTTATTATTTAAAAAAAAAAAAAGCAAACAGGCCCACGCATAAAATCAGATGGATATGGACAATGGATTCGATTGCTCCAGACAACGGCTTCCAAAATCCATGAGCTTGGGGCAGTGAAACAATCCTATGTACATCCATTCCTCTATATAACATTTTCCAGAAAAGCAGTTTCTCCGGGCCAAGTCTAAAAAATTTCAGCATTTCAATTGTCATGATCAGACCAATGCAGCATATGAAATAGATTATAACATAAACCAAGTGATAATTTGGAATTTAAGTCGTATGTGCCGAGCAAGTTTTAAAACCAAATAGATACGCCTAAGAGACCATCATATCTCTTAATGTTGCTAGCAACATCTATAATTATTTCGTGAATGGTTATACATTTTCTATGCTCTCGTTAAACACAGTGAACTCTAAATGGATTTTATTGAAGGAGCAATCTCTTGTACAACTCCTAGTTTCTCTTCAAAGCAATTTTGACAAATCAATTTCCATTATAAAGAGCTAACAACTAGAACAAGAACTTCCAGCCCAGAAGTTGGAGGGCTTCCATCTTACCTGGACGTCAGGGAATTAAGCTTCTTTTCATACAACTTAGCTTGTCGAAGAGCATCTAAGGCCTCAGCTTGTTTTCCTGAACGCTTCAAATTTAAGGCCTTCACTTTTTCTGCTCTGATTCTTTCTTCTAGCTGAATTCTCTCGTCGTTGATGTTTTCAGTCTTAGCAACATTGGGTTTATTGGTCTCCCGTTTTTCTGGACCTTTTGATACAACACTAACATCTTCAAGTCCAACTCCAACTGCCTTCAGAGCAGATAACAGTTGAGGATCGAGAAAATCCTCAACAGCCACATCGTCTACAGCATCTGACAAACTGGAAGATTTACCAGAATCATGAGCTCCCAACTCATCCAACTGGATTTCAAGTGCCTTTGCCCGTTCAAACTCAGCTTCTGCTTCCTCCATCCGACCTTCTCTCCGTAACTTCAGGGCTTGACGTTTGTGCCCCAAAGACTCCTGCTGCAACTTAAAACGATCTCGACTAGACAACGGTTTCATAGCAACATTCGATGGATCCTTTTTCTGTTCAACATTAGATACATTGGAGGATATGTTAGAAATAGCATTGGGCTGCATATTGTTCTCCAAGCTCTTCTCCAATAGTTTTGCCTGACGTAGTTCATCCCGAGCTTCTGCTAGTTTTCCTTCTCTCTTCAAAGCAACTGCCTTCCTTTTAAGAGCCAAAATTTCCTGATTATAGGAAACATTATTCTTAGCAAAAGCATCCTGATCAGCAGCAGCCTCACTTGTGCTTGGCTTTTCATTTGCGACAGCCAATTCTGCTCTTTTATTAATCGTAACATTACTTTTGGATCCCTTTTGTTGATTGAGAGATGAGGATTCCAAACAAATAGGAGGGACTGCTTGAGGCAAATTTGCTGACCCAATCTTAGAACCTTCTCTATGTTTTTGAGCAAAGGTTTCATTTGAAGGACTTGCCTCCTTACATGATGAACCGAGCACTAATGAAGCAGAATCATTATCAACTTCTGTTGCAGTTCCTCGACTCCCACGCTTTTCATGCAAGTCAGTTGATGCAGAAAAAACAGGTTTTTCAACGTTGGCAACATTAAGGAGAAACTCCTTGTTCTGGTTCCCCATATCTTCCATCTGGGCTTCCAAACTCTTTGCCATCCTCAAAACTTCATCTGCCTCTTCCACTTCTCCTTTGCGTTTAAGAGCAAGAGCCTTCCTTTTCAATGCTAAGAGTTCTTTTTGAATCTCTCTCTTACTCCTTGAAGCTTCACTAGAAATACCAGAAGAAGAATCAAGTATAGACAGGTCTGTATTGGTAAAACTACTGGTACCTTTCTTAACTGCCTCTTCTTTTGTGGATCCTGCTTCAGACTCTTCATCCTTCCACCCAAGAGTGTTAAGCATTGAATTCAATCCTGGGTCATACATATCATCTTCAGTAACTACTTCAAGACTTGCTTCTACAACTGCACTTCCATCCGGAGGATTAAAGACTTTGTCTTTACTAAGAGCATCAACTTGCAGTTCTTTCTTTGGAGCCTCCATTTCAGCTAACTTGCTTTCTTGTTCTTTCGCCATTTTCAGCACTTCCTCAGCTTCCTCCACTTTCCCTTCGCGCCTGAGAGCAAGAGCCTTCCTTTTTAAGCCCAAGAGTTCCCTCTGAATTTCAAATTTACTTCTTTTTGGTACTCCTGCCAACATATTTGTAGAATGCTGTATTAGAGAAACGTCATTGATCAGCACAGAATGAACACCATCTTTCTTTGATGGCTTGGTAGAAGAATTAGGAGGCCTGTCATCGTCATCATTCCAACCCAAGTCCCTAAGAAGCGAAAGATATGTTGGATCAGACAAATCACGGTCAGTTACTTGTTCCTCTCCTCCTTCCTCAAGAGGCAAATCTTTATGAATATCAGGAAGTTTGTGTGTCGAATGTGGAACATCACCAATTTTCAACTGAGATCCCTTAAGATCTTTAGCATTATCCATCTTCTCTAGCTGATGCTCAAGAGCTACACCCTTTCTTAATTCTTCTTCTGCCTCATTCAGTTTCCCTTGCCTTCTCAATGCAAGAGCCTTCTTCTTCAAACTCAAAAGTTCTTTCTGAATCATTAATCGGCTTTTTGGTGCCTCATCAACGTTTATGCCATTAATATTTCCCAGACCCACTTCAATAAATTCTGATCCTTTACCAGAAATTTGAGAACTACGACCTCTACCAGCAGCAGTGGATTTTTGTGCCATAGTATTGTTCTCTTGAGACCCAGAACTGTTAAGATCCCTCTCTAATAACTTTGCCTTTTTCAAGTATGCCATTGCTTCTTCATTATTACCTTCCCGCTTTTGTTTAAGAGCCTCTCCTTTCAAAGATTGAATTTCACTAAGCAATTCCTCTGCACCAAGGGGCTGAGTCTCAGATACTATATTTTCAGAATTATTAGAATCCTCAGTCCAACCTATTGATTTCAAAGCAACAGCTATTTCAGGGTCCAACATATCATCATCAGTCACTTCAAAATTGCTGTCGAGATTATCAGACATGCTCAGCAGGTTATCAAAATCAAGGTTATGCCCATGGTCATGAAAATTTAAAGATCCTTCCTCATTATTGTCCATGCCATGAATTAGTGCTGATAGTTCATCATCAGAATCTTCAGCTTCTGCCAGCAGTTCCTGTTCTTCCAGATGCTTTTCTAAAACTTTAGCCCTCTTTAATTCTTCCTTGGCCTCTGCTACCTTCCCCTCTCTCTTTAATGCAAGAGCCTTTTTCTTAAGAGCAACAACCTGGGTCTTGTCAATTCTACTGCCCTTTTCTTCACTGGTTTTTGGAAGGACATTTCCAATAATAGCTGATAGTTCACCCTCCAAACTCAAGTTTGCTGGCTTCCTATCTTCATCCGGAAGATCCAAATCAGACCATCCAAGCTCTCTAAGTTCAGCAGCAATATCATGCTTCTCTTTATGCATGTGTGGAAGTGACTTAGTTTTTTTCCCAGGTTCTAAAGAAATATCTCTGTTCAACATATTAGACATGTTAACAGAGGATAAATTTTTCTTTCGAATCTTTCTCAAATGAACTTCCAAGGCATCAGCCTGCCTTTCAAACTCCTTACTTCTCTTAAAAGCCCTAAGGGCCTCCTCAGATTTTCCATCCCCTTTCAGAATTTTATATTTCTTCTTTTCCTCCAAAGCTTTTTGGCGCAAATCATCAGGACTAGTGGATCCCACATCAACCTCCAAATTATTGAAATCATCATTTGAGATAGTTTTTTGTATGTCACTGACAACCTGATTGGCATGTCCCACAGTACTTGAAGAAGATGCACTGCTGACTGATCTTTGACCGTCAGGAATTGTGCTACTGGCTGAATGATTTCCTGATGAAAAAGATTGTTCTCCATTATGACCAAGAATCTGGCTCAAAATTTCATCTTCATATCTAGGCGTTGATTTTGAGCTCCCTAAAAAAAAAAAATAGAAGTAAGCATTCAAAAGGATGGAACGATGAAGTTATAAAGCAAGTAAAAGGGAAGTTACACTGATACTTTAATGTAAACAAGGCACAATTTCAAAACCAAAAAAAAAAAAAAAAATTGGAGCCACCTCTCCCAGCTCTGCGTCCCTGTCGCAGCTCAAATCGTGCTGCCTCTTCTAGCTTCTTACAAGGTTCGCAAATACGCACAGGCGAATCCCCTTGTCCACGTAAAACCATTCTTTGTTGGGTACAACTGTTGCAGAACAATCCTCCACAGTGTCTACAGTGGTGCTAAAAGGATTTAAAAAAAAAAACACACACACACACACACATGAGAAAATTAAATTCCAAACACAGAATTGATTTCATGTTCCATCAAAATCTAACTAAATAAAAAATTTAATATATTAACAAGAAATTATTTACTGCTATAATGCTTCAATTGGCTTTCCTTTGCAACATCCTTTAAAGGCAATCAATTGACAAACAAGTAAACAATCAGCCAGTGATTCAAAAAAATCATGAAATTGGCAAGCATATTATTATAAACACTGATTCCATGAAACTTCAGATTACAATCCTAATTTGATAAAAGTCCAGGAAATTTAGGCACGCTTCTGTAGTTTTATTTCTAATTTCAATAAAGCAGTGAATTGATTCTTTATGGAATTAGGAAGTTTAGTAACCATAGTACCATACACCAAGCAAGAAAACTTAACAGCACAGTTGAATCTGGCAAAATGCCAAAACCACAGAAAATAGCATAAAGCAGTAAGGAAAACCAGCTCCTAGACTTTCAAGACTCTAGCTATCTCCTCTCGGCTTCCTCAAGAATTTAGCCCATCCATTCCCAAACCATAACAGAATTACACTCATGCCCATCCCAGAACCTCCACAAATCAGTTACATATTTCCCTCCTCAAAGGGTTCCTTTACATTACCTCTCTGGATCCTCAAGAATCAACATTGTGTCTCATAATTTAAAAGGGTAAGAGGAAGGTAACCTAGAGACCCAATGAGATATCTTATCATCAGGAAACTAAGGAGTGAAATGCACAACAAAGTGAAATCAAAAGTCTAGGCTTCTCGAATATAAGAACTGATTCTCTCTAAGAATTCATTAGTCAACAAAAAGTGAAATCTAACACTCCTAGTGCAAAGCAAGCAGTAATCGCAGAGGTATTAGACATGGCTTGAAAGAGAGAAGAGAATTCGTACATTGTATGTATATAGACAGATAACAACTCTTGAAGTCCAAAAACAATGAATTAGCATATAGTCATATTCAAGTCAGCATAGGAGTGCTTCATTATTAAATACAAGCCTCCCTTACTACTATTTCAATTACATCAAGTTGACTACTCTATTAAAGAAAATCAACTTGCATACCACTCCCACAGATGGCCAAACTAATCGGCGACACCATTCCACCTGCCCCTCGAATAATCGAGTATAGACTTAACCGGTACCATAAAAAAGGATTCTGGATTATGAAACATACGTTACATCTAATATATAATCAACTCTGAATAATAATATTGAAGTTAGTTAGCATAACCAGGGTATCGGATGCATATAAACGACAACTTTGCCAATTGCGCAGACTTTCCCGGATAAATAAGTGAAACCTTGAAGTAAAGTAGATTAGTTGTGTCCTACAAACGGTATCGGTAATCCTACGTCCCACATAAATTCTAAAGCCCATAAGGAAAGAGAAAACCATGGGTTTCCTTTCTAATTCACAAATGTTTATGAATCAATCCAAGAAAATGAAAACAGGAAAAAAAAACAACGGGATCGTGGGTAAATCAAAAGAGAACTCCGACCAATTTAATTTATCATACATGAAAAGGGGAAAAAAAATAGCGATCATGGAATTGTAAGAAAGGAACCTTGCGATTGATGAAGGTAAACTGAGATGAGCAACCCTGACAGTGAGAGGCATCCACCACCCAAGTATTCCCTCGCAATGATGGCTTGGGCGGCAACCCGATCTTCTCTAACATCTTGATGGTTTTCTCCTCAAACACCAAATATTCAGAATCAATGAAGCGATCGACAAAATTCTATTCCCCTAACTGGTTTGCTTGCTAGCTTCGTCCGCTGTACTTATACAATCGATAAATTGATAGTAATAAGTAGGATTCATTTTGTTCCCTTTCTGCGCAGCAAAAACTCAGAAAGAGAACGAGAAAAGCAACCATGGGTTGATAGCCGAGTCAACAACTCCGGTTCGTGCACGCCAACTCGGTCTCTACGCGGACAGCTTCGGATAAACTAATATTTCTCTCGTCTTATCTTAATTTCTAAGTTATTTTTTTATTTAATTTTTTAAAAATACTCTTCGTTAATAAAAAAAAAGATGGAATGAAATTTATTTAAGAAGTAAAATAATGAAGTGTAACATGAGAATAATTATAATTAATAAAATTTTATTTTTTTAAAATATTTTGTACTTTGAAATACTAGTACCAAATCATTTTTAAAAACATCTTGTAAAATCGGATGGAAGGAATACTCACAAGAAGTAATTGAAAATGAACTACCAGATAAGATAATGCATTAAGGTTAATTAAGGTTAATGATTTAATCAAATGATCCTAATCAAATGAATATACTTTTAAATATAAATATAAATAAATATATATCAATTATTTTAAATAAGAAAGATAAATAATAATATATTTAAAAACTTATTTAAAAAACAAAATAAAATTATAAAAAAGTCACATAAAATAATAATATAATTTAAGAAGTTTCTAATGTGTCGGGCTTGTAAAAATGGCATCCAAAAACACATAAATTGAGGGATTTTCAAATTCCCAAATGACAAGAAGGAGACCATGGTGATAGATGGAAACTTGTTCTCTCTAATGGCTACTATTAATATGATGCAATTGCGAGTCAAAGGTTGAGGCCGGAGACAAGGAGCTCCTCACAACACGACACCAAGAAGGAAAAGAGAGTGCTCAAAGAAAATTGTACGAGCAACCCTACCGGCGAAAACGTGTGGGTGAGGAAGGTCGGGAATTTCAAAGAGCCCAACAAGCCAACCATCTAACAAAGACAAAACGTTTAGAATACCTTAGGTGAGTCGTTAGGAAAGTTTGACTACTATGTGAGGTACTTGGCTCCCCCTGGTGCAGAATAACTGTTCATAGGAAAAACAATAGGATGGCACGACTCAAACCCTCCTAGGGCCCTTAAAAAGAAATGTTACTTGTTCCCAAGCTTGCCCAAAAACCTAACCAAACAAAACACAAGAGGATGGTAGTTCCTCTAAGACAAGTCCTAAACTTGTAGTGGAGTATGGTGCAGCACCCTGGATCATGTATCCTATTAACAAAGATGCAAAACCAAGACCTCTAACAAAGGAAAGCCACAGCTAGGTATAGGAGTTAGTTCAAGCTGCAAGGAGGGGAGCTCTCGCCAAGACTCTCAAAAGGAAAAATCAAAAGAAGAGCCACAAAAGATTATGATTCCAATGAATTATTGGGAGGCAATGATCTAGATACTTTCTTGAAAAACCAACTTGCTTCATTGACGATCAGTATCGATAGGTTCTCCTTCCCTATACGTTCTACTATTACATTAATGTTACTTGCTGCTTTCCAATCAAATGTAACAAAGAACCTACTAGGGGGTGTGAAAGATCATGTGACAATGAAAGATTGGAAAAGTGATAAGGAAGTAGAGGACCAGTGTGCCCTAGGCAAAATAATGTCTAAGAACCCTAAAGAGGCTGTAGAGCTAACCAATCAAAAGCAAAAGCCTTTTGCTAAAGAGAATGTACCTAGCCTAGAACTTAAAAACTCCATCACCCTGACCACTGAGCAAGTTTCCTAAGTTTCTATTATCTAGAAACTAGGATAGCCAAAGAAGATAATGATGGAGAAACCTATCTTTCACATGATATAGCACTTACCCTCTTTACATAAGAGTGCACCTAGATGGGGTAGCTATATGACACATCCTAGTTAATAATGGCTCTATTGTGAATGTCTTACTTGTAAAGTCATTATGAAAGGTAGGGAAGATTAAACACAACTTGATTCCCACCAATATGAGTGGCTTCCTTCAACAGAGAGGAATCCTAAATGGTATGAGTTATTCCTATAGATCACTATAGGTACTAAGAGTGTGATGTCCACATTCTTCATCATTGACTCCACCGCTCAGTATCAAGCTTTCTTGGATGGAATTGAATCCATACCAATGAATGTATCCCCTTATATATACACCAATGCTTGATCATGTGGAAACAAAATGAGGTGAAAGTTGTTTGGGTGAATAATTGACCCTTTCGTGCTATGGTGGATTCTATCAATGCTAGGTACGATGATCTAGACATAAGGTCATTCGAGTTAAATGGTTTGGCCAAGATTGACATCCTAACAATCTCACCAATGCCAAGAAGGACTTACCTTCACAAAGACATCAAGAAGCCACGAGTATGGCCTTGATTGCAAAAAGGTGCCATCCATGGAGCTTATCATAGAATTAGTAGAATGTGGAACCTAAGGAGTTCCAGGCTATAGTTGGCATGGCCATCCAAAAATGTAAAGTACAATAAACTTTAGAAAGCTTAACAACACTAGAAGAATCTTATGTTTGCAAAGGCCAAGCTAGTTTACAAAGACTTATAGGACGATCTAGAGCCCATATAGTGAGAAGACTTGCAAGCTACCCCACGAAACATAGAAGACATTCCTCTAGAGGTTAAAGACCCCTTAAAGGAGATGAACTTAGGGTATGTTTAAGAGCATTTGATAGAATTAAAAGGAATGGTCATTAATGAAATGTAATGAGATGGAGTTGAATGAAATGGAATATTTTGTTAATTGAAAATTTTATTAATAAATATTTTATTTAATCATTATTTAAAATATAATTATAAAATTAATATATTTAAATTAGATAATAGTGAGAGGAGTGAAAGAGGGAAGGGGTAAGAAGGATGAGGGTAATTTTGTATTAATATTATTTATATTATACAATCCTTGACCCCTTAAATTAAGGGGTTAAGAAAAATGAATTTAGGATGGCAAGGGATAGTTTGGAAATCCACATCAAGCCATTCCACTCTCTTCTAAAAAATTCTCCCAAAAAATGGTGCAAGGCTTCTAGCTATTCCATTTCATTCCATCTTAAAAAACAAAAAAAAAAAAAAACCTCTCAAACGTTACTTTAAGGAACACTAAGGTCCCCTTGTCAATTGACATAAGCAGCCTCCTTGAAGCTGTCTTAAGGAATGACTTAGTTTAGGTACTTCAAGAGTACAAAAATTTCTTCACTTAGGAATACAAGCATATACCTAGATCTAGAGCCGATAACTTGGACTAAACCCAACAAACTAGCTCAAACACACCCGAAAAATTTAAGATCGAGCCAAAAAATATAATTTTTTAATACTTAAGCCTATTCAGGCTACCCGAATAAGCCCGAGAAAAATTCAGGCCAAGCCCAATTGGGTTCAGGCTTGGCCCAAATACTCAAATTAAAACATAATTTTTTAAAAAAAAATATAAAATATAATAAATATTAATTAATTATTTAAGTTTTATATTATTTTATATCAAAATACTATATATTTAAGTGTATTACTATAGTTATTTTTTTAAAAAAATAAAAACAGTTATATTTTCATATTTTTATTATTTTAATCAATAAAATATCTAAAAATAATATTTAAAATACATTTTAATCTTGATTTTTATATTTTAAGACCCAATTTTTTTAAAAAAAATTTGAGTCCTACATATCATTTGTGTATCCAAAAATATATTTTATATTTTTTATAAAATAATATAATTAATTTTAAAGTAAAAATAAAATTAAAAATAATTTTAAAAATAAAATTTGGGCATATATGAATTTATGGCTCTACTATTAAAAAGCATAATAAATAGAATATTCTTGGATATCGTCTACTTCAAATTTGGTTAAAAATTAAAAATAAACTAGAGTAAAAACCCCTTATATATAATGATTAAATAATATAAAAAGTAAAAGGAAAAACAATTAAAAAAAATATTTTACTCATAATCAAATAATTTTATTTCATATAATATAATAATGACTATTTTTTCATATTTTTAAAAATAAAAAGTATAATTTACTCAAAAGTTATTAAAAATTTTGAACTAATTGAGATAATGATTTTAAGTTTGTAGTCTAACTATAATTAAATTGAAATTAACTTGATCATAATTATAAAATATAATTTAATTAAAATATATAAAATATTTATATGTGAACATGATAAGAATAATATTTAAACAACTAAGACATTAATTTATAAGTACAGCAAACATTCATGAATAAATTACACATAATACAATAAAATAATAATAAAGCTACTTAAGTACAAAATTGATAAGTAATTTTTTTTTATTTATCCTTTTAAAGTTAAAATAATATTTTATGCTTAATAAAATTATTTAAAAATTAAAATTGGTTCAAAAAATAAAGAAAAAAATAAAAAAATTAGGTATTCGAGTCGACCCGAATAAATCTAAAGGTGTTAGGGCCGAGCTTGGCTATATGAGCTTTTTAAAAAGAGTAGGATACTTTAAGTCTGGTCCACCTAAATTACCGACTCTACCTAAATTAGGTAGGAAGTAAGTAGAGTACCACTTGCTGATCAAAACAAACTTTAAGCCATTATAACAGCCAGCCCAAAGAATGTCCACCCAAATAAATCTCCAACTAAAAGAAGAGATTAAGAAGCTACTGGAGGTTGGTTTCATTCACCCTTATCGATACTTTCCCTGGCTATCCAAAATAGTCTTTATCATGAAGAAGAACAGGAAGATCAAGGTGTGTGTGGATTTCAAAAACTTTAACATGGCTACTCTTAAAGATGTGTACTCCTTGCCTATAACATACTTCTTTATAGATTCTAGAGTTGGTAACAAACTCTTCTCTTTCTTGGATTACTTTTTCGGATATAATAATATTTTTTTCTCACAAGAAGACATCCACAAAATAGCCTTCCGGTGCCTTGGTTCCATTGGCACTTTCGAATGGGCTGTCATGCCTTTTGATTTGAAAAACACTAGAGCTACTTATCAAAAATTCAGGAATGTCATCTTTCACGATATGATAGGCGAATTTGTGGAAGTCAATATAGATGACATTATGGTCAAATTTAAAAAGAAAGAGCTCCACATGAGACACATTAAAGCTTGCTTGCAAAGAGCCTGCTTGAGACATGAGACTCAAATTAAATCCATTAAAGTGTGCC